GACGCTTTGCTCTTGGAATCACTGGGAAAATGCCCCAGGCCTGAAATTCTCCTTGGTCTTGTCCAAATAAATGCAGCTTCCTTTATCAGAGGAGCTGTCAGACTTCGCAGCCTGCTGCGCTAGTAAGACCCTCACACCAGAACTGGGAGTGGGTGTGGGGTGCTGGGAGCTTGACACTAACCCACCACGCGCATCCGCTGTTCTTACCAGATTCAGTAGGTTTTCTTGAGTAACATTCACAGTTTTCTTTTTAAAGATTTATTTATTTATGCATACAGAATTGGGGTACAGACTAGAGGTGTGAGGGTGAGAGAGTCACCAAAGACAGAGTGGGGAGCAGAACAGGCAGATCCACTGAAACACACCGCTGAGGGGAGCAGCGGGGAGACAGGAGAGGTCTGCTGCACCCTGGGGTCCCTCCCTGGCTGGGGATCGAGCTCAGGCGGCAGTGGCTGCTGAGAGCTTCATCTTCATAGTGCTGCGCTTTAGCCCATTGCGCCCCCAGGGAGGCCTCTTTCAGTTTTTTGAGTGTCTCCGATTAATATCCAGATCTGTGAGTGGTTGGTTTTGATGATTTTGTCCTTAGTGATGGGGATAATGTCTCTCAGGCTCCTCACCCGGCCATGCTGGGCGCCCTGTCCCACCCACTCCTCGGCATCCTGTTTTTAAGAGTTCAATTTTTATTCGAGCTGTATTTTCAGAAAATGTCAGGAAGTGGGGATCTGTTGATGAGCCTTAAAAATACTGAGAAGCGGGCCCTCCCTGGGGGCGCAGCGGGGTAAAGCACTGCACTACGAAGCTGAAGCCGCTTCCGCATGAGTTCGATCCCCGCCTGCCCCGGAGGTGACCCCATGGCGCGGCAGACCTCTCCTGACCCGCCCGCTGCTCCCCTCAGCAGTGGACTTCGTCCATCTGCCTGTTCTGCTCCCCACTCTGTCTCGGTGAAGCCTCTCACCCTCCGCATCTCTGGCCTGTACCCCAGTTCTGTATGAATAAATAAATAAATCTTTAAAAAAAAAAATGCTGAGAAGCGGCGTGACCTGCCGACCTGCTGCGCCCACTGGCTCGCGCTTCCCACTGGCTGGTGTAAACTGTTTCTTGGATCTCAGTGGGGTTTATTTTAAGCCTGTCTTTGGCTCTTCGGCGGTCACCCCCCGCTGTCTTTACCGTCTCTTGCTTTCCACTGGTCACATTTTAGCTTCTGTGTCTCTTGGCGTCGCCCGCGTCTGTTCTGTCAGCGAGACACGTACCCCACCTGCTCTTGCTGTGTCAGCGTTGGGGGGCTGGGGCAGGCCGCAGGCCCGGCATGGCGGGCGCTCGCCTGCACACTCGCGCCGGTGCCGCCCGCCCTCGCACTTCTTATTCGTGTGTTCCCTGGGTCTGGTGTCTGCCCCCGAGGCCTCGTTGGGCCGCTGCCCAGCACAGTGCCTGTGCTGGATTTTGGGAAGGGAAGGTCTCCAGACACCTTTCACCCAGATGCTTCCTTCTCCCTCTCTCTTCCTCAAGGCCGGCGCTCACCCTCAGTCCTGCTTTTTCAAGGCCGCCATGTGGCCATTGGCCTCGTCACCCGAGCCCGCCCAGCTCTCCAGTGTGTCCGTTTTTCTGATGCTGTGGACGGGAGTTGTGCTTTGCCGGTTAGAGCTGCTCCATATCGCTTTATAATAGTCGCCGTGTCAGCCCTTCTTCAAGTGGGCGTGAAGGGGTGGTGACTCGGGTCAGTCAGATCCTCAAGGTAGTGTCTTAGTGAGAAACCAGTGACTGTTCTGTAGGTTTTTTTAAAAATTAATTTTATCGGTGCGCTGGCGGCTTCAGCATGTCCAGCCATTGCCACAGGCAAGCACCCTCTGAGGAACCAGAGATGCTGGGCCGGGTGTGGGAGGCCTCGTCCTGCAGACTGGTGCTTGGCAAGTGGCTGGCTTTCCGCGTGCGTGACGGCAGGGGCGTGGAGGGTCAGGGCGGCTTTCTTCAGGGTTAGTGGGCCTGCCCAGCCCCTTCGCTGGGCAGGGGAGGTGTCTCTCTTGCTCATCTTCAGCTATGTACTCAGATTCCCCCATCTCCTTCCTTCCCAGAGCTTTGATACCCAAAGGCAAGTTTTGACTCAGCTGCCCAGCTGTCCGGCTTGTTCTTGCCAACTTCGTTTCCTGGGTCCTGTGTTCTTTTCCCACTCTTTGCTGACTTGTTTTTAGCATGGTTTCCTTGAATGACCCTGCTCTGCTTGGTGCGCTCACTTCCTGGTCATGAAAACAAACTCATTTCTTTGTGTGGGGCGCGACTGTCGAGCACCTTCTCTGTCCTGGGGAGAGTGGGAGCCAGCCTCTCACAGCGGTGAGCCCACCAAAGATGCCTTGTCTTTAGAGCTTGAGAAACAGATCAGGCATATTCACCCAGCTGGGGTACGTGGTGAAGGGGCGAGGGCATCCGTGCAGCCGCGCGGAGTGGAGGCCTCGGCCCCTCCCGTGACCGGCAGTAACTTCCCTCGCGTGTGACAGGACTGGATCCAGGGGACCCATTTTTCATTCCGATTGTTGTTTTTGGATTTCTTTGTCCTGCTTGCAGCTGGCCAGCCCTTCACTGCCCCCAAGCTGCCCGTCACTCATGTCCCTCCCAGTTGTGGCCACAGACCCTGACCATGAACCTCTTTCTCTGGAACTTTCACCGCACTTCTTACCATTCTATTTTGTTGTTTCCCTCGCCATCTTTGTAGCTTCTTGTATTTTCTATTCCTTCCTTCTTGGATTTCCTAAATGTGGCCCTAACCCAGACCTGTGTCCGGTGCCCCCTGCTCTGTCAGCCTGCCCTTCCTTGGCAATCTCATCCATTCGAACACTCTGCCACCTTTGCGCAAATGGATGGCAAATTCACCTCTCTGTTCTGCTCCATTTTCCGACTACTTGATGCAGAAGTGTGCATTTCCATGCAGCATTCATCTCCTCTGACTTTGTGATGTTCTTACCTCCCTGTCGCCACCCTTGAGATCTCACACGACTGCTTCCTCCTTTCTCCTGTGCCTGGCTGCCGAGACGTGACAGCGTGACCTGTAGTCACGCGGTGACATGCATCATCCCAGTAAACATCATGTCGGTGTCTGCGTGTTAACGCGTTCAGGCCTTCCTTTCCGGCCGCCCAGTCTCTTCTGGTTCTTTCTGAAGGTGCAGCTGCCGCCAGCCTTTCTTAATTCCAGATGACTCTGAGTCTTGTGTCGGGTTAATTTTCCCCAAAACACAGCTCTGATGTGTTCTTCTCTCCTGCTCCTTTGTGCTTCAGAAATTCCCTCCTGCCTGTTTAGAACTGGACTGGTCTTCTAGACCTTACAACTTGTTTGAATTTCCTTGCCACTGCCTCCCTTCATACAGGCTGGACTCTGTCCCAGAGGAATTAACGTTGCAAGAACCGGCCTGTGTCTTTCTGTTTGTCTCTATTCCCGCTTCCTTTGCCAGCAGTATTCTTCCTCGCTTTCTCCGTTCATCCTTAAAATTTCTCCTGAAGCTCCCTTTGTCTGCCTGAGCTGGGGATTCTCTTTGTCTCTCTCTGTTGCCACTTGCGCATTTACTCGTGCTTAAAAATACATCACGGCCCTCCCTGGTGGCGCAGCGGGTTAAAGCACAGCACTGAGAATCTGAGGCCACTTCCGCA